GTGCTTTGCTGTCTGAGCCTCGGCGCTCTCAGCTCTCACGTGGAGATAATGATTACTGCATAGTCAGAGGTCATGTGGAGGATTAAATATGTATTGTGCAAACCACTTGGTTAACTCCAAAGTGCTTTTATGATTAGTTTCCCAGTTTTAATTAATGACCACAGGTCCTCCCTCTTGAGGAGAAGCCGATTACCATGTAAAATATTTCCAAATGAATAATGGGAATATTTATAAAATATGTGTAAAAATGCACCACTCCTAGGGCTAACCTCCCCAGCTCCTCCTAACTCCTTCCTTAAACCTTATCTACTAATAATGGGACAGGCTCCTTCTCGGTCCTGGAAACCCTTGGTACCTAGCTTGAAGTCTCTCAAAGCCCACTCCCATGGCTAGTCCTCTGATGAGGGAATCAGATAGGTGCCCCTTGGCATCAATAGGTGGTTCTTTGAAAACAATCAAGACATTTATGAAAATAGGCATTATGTTGTTCCCAGATGGACGCAAAGCTTGTGTATTTGATACATTATTGTAGCTTTCAAAAAAGACTCAAAAAGACCATCAGGTAGAAAAACACATTCATTCCAACAAGATTGCATTATAAAAAAATTAAAAGAAACTCTTTGATTATTAAAATAATCATGTTGCTGGAGGGAAGAAGGAAAGGGAACAAGAAGTTAGGGATTTTGACACTGGGTAGTGTCCATGCAAGCTTTTCAGAAGTCTCTCTTGGTTTTTCTCCCAGACCTGGGTATGTCGGTAAGGGCTCAGAAACTATACTACTTCTGAGGCCGGCTGCAGCACAGTAGCTCCCCACCCTGAGTCTGCACTTACTCCCTTTACCCAGGCTGCTATGGTCCAACCTCCTTGCCTTTTGCTGTGTCCCAGGCAGTTATTTTCTCTCAATCCTTTGTAGGGACAGAATTTGTTCAGTGGCCGCCTTAGCTTGGGCTGTGCTGTAGGAGCCTTATGAAGGTGTTTCAGGCAATTCATGATTGAAAAGGCTCTGTGGGGTTCCCCAGAGAGGTGAGTATGTGAGCAAGGTGCTGGACATGTTAGACAAGCCTCCTTGACCACTTCGCATTAGGGACCCAGTGGAAGGCCCACAGATCCCCAGACTCCATGAGGATGCTAGCTGGGAATAGCTAAACCTGCTTGCTAGACTCATTTTCATTCATTTTCTAAATTGTATTTCTCCTACACTGGAAACTATTCTGAATTCCCTCATTTGCTAGGGTACCACATTTCATTTGGCTCATTTCTTCATCAACTATTTCTTCAAGGTCTACTCTGTATGAGGCACTGGGAGAGAAATAAAGAGTAATCAGACATTGAAAAGGAGAGAACATTACATACTTTTGATAGAAAGCGATGTATACCTCCAGAGTTTGGGAGAAGGGAGATGTTAAGTACATAATGATTTTTCTTTTTTGCTATACTTTTTACAATAAATTGTACTACATAAAAATCTATACCGATACTCATTTATATAGCAAATCCCATTATAATGAAAAAATTCCTGCCTGTGATTTGGGCAGCAGCATTAGAACACAATTCCAACACAAAAGATTGGACAGTCCCTTGGAGTGAGCTAAAATGGGATTTGACGTATATATCAAGCTTTTCATGGTTTTGATATTTTTCATTTCCACGTGTCAACAAATACCAGACTTGATATTAAAGCCAGTTAAATCAATTTCCTTGCTGTAGCCAGGGACAGCAGCATATATCCAAGGGCAACATTCCTCAACAGCCATATTTTGTTGAGTACGTATACTTTTATCACACACCTAACTGATTCAGCTACCTTCAGATGAATAGGATGAAAATAGCAACAGAGCTACCATAAAAAAAGAAAAGAAAAGCCAGGGAATCTATAATCTTGTCCCTCACCTCTCATTTAAGCAATCCCATAATTTATTTTCCTCACTTTAATCATGAGGAATGACAATATGGAAAAGATCTCAGTTGCAGTAGCTGTGCTCCAGTGAGTCTGCTTGAACCCTTCTCCCAGCCCGCGTCTCAGCCAGAGGATGTCTGAACATAACAGCACAGGAGGAGGTGCAAAGGATCCCAAGCATCTCCGGCTGTAGGAATCTAATCCTTGTGACTGAAAAGAGAGTGAGGGTAAAGACTGTTCCTACTTACTCGTTTTCTGAACTTTCAGCTGTTAGAAGATGTCTGAAAGTTATCTGTTGAAAACTCAGTGGTTCTATAAACCAATAGCCTGAAGCATCAATTTATAAACACCAACAGATTTATTTATTGTTTTCAGAAAAGCCTAACTTCTCTTCCCTGTATATTATAAATAGAAGAGTGGTTATCTTTTATTGGATGCCTACTCTGTGCTACAGTATCTCACCTCTGATTGGCAAAATGATGCCTCAAGGCATGTGTTATTATTTCCATTTTATGTGCAACTTGGACTGCTGAGTAACTTATGTGAGGGCAGCAACCTAGAAAGGGTTCAAGTTGGGATTTGAACCCAAGCTTGTCTGATTCCAAAACATTTTCACTTTTTACAACCAGGTGATATTCCATAATATAGCACGAGATTGAAAAAAAAATTTTTTTCCAAATTGTTAAAGTAGCACATGCTCATTATAGGAAGTTTGGAAAGCAGAGAAAATTATAAAGACGTTCACCCATAATTGTTCACCCCAGAGATAATCACTACTAAAATTTTAATTTTTTTTTCTTTCCATGTTTAAGAAAGCTATAATTTATATATCCAAGAGAGTATTGTTCCTTAGAATTGTCATCTTTGGAGTTAGTGCATGTACTCCAATAATGTTGCCATTGCTTAAAACATTTTTGGAATCTGTTGCAGAGCTAATTTAGGAACCAAATTCTCTATAGACTCCGATGCACAAGGTGCTTCGATAGAGACATAGCAAAGACAGTATATCCATTACCTAAATACCTATCAAAATAGGTATATACCATTTCATGCCTTCTAAAATTACATGCTGCGAGTATTTAACCACCCTGTAAGGAATACCATTCATTGCCCTCTCTGAGAACAGTAATGTCTTGTGCTGACTTCTGTTGCAGTAGGAGATGGAATTATCATAATGCTGTTTTTTCCCATGTCAAAGACTGATGGACATTTTGGGATATGTTTAAAAGTCTTCATGAAAAATTCAGTCTACACACGTTTAATATCTCATCTGACAACTCATGTTATTTATGTCGTTGTCAACACAACAATATTTGCCTTTTGTAGTTCATAAAGAAAATCAGAAGATTGTTTTTGTCAAAAAGTTTCAAAAGCATATTTTAAAATCAATTTCTTTTTAATGGACACATTATACTCACTGAATTATTCCCCTCTAAGGAGTTTCTGTGAAAGCAAATATATCTAAGTGTGATGAATTGATCCTTAAGTTAGTAGCATCTTGTGTCGAAGTAAATGTTTCTCAAAGATGCAGGCACGTGTGCACTCACATACACATACATAAAAGAAAAGATCGCTATCAAAACGGCCAAGAGTATATTTTATTAAAGTCAAGAAAGTCAGTGAGTGATGAGCCAGCTGAGATCTCACCTCTGGATTATTGCATAAAACACTGTTACTTTCAGAAAACAAACCTAACCCTCAACCCAAGCGTCTCACTGGTTGTCTAGTTTCTGCCTAATTTTTCACAGATTTCTTATCTGTCCCATCATCTTAGTATGGCACATCCTTCCCCAGACTGCTGGGCACCTGGGACACCAGAACCCTGGATTTTGAATCAGTGCAGAATTTTTGGAGACCACTCCTCGGGTTCAGCTTGGACAGATAGGGCCTTCACAGTTATCCTCAGGGCTGTACTCTTTCCTGGTCCTCTGATTGCCAAGATTTCCTATGATAAGACTTCATCATGCTCACAGAACTAATTACCAAGTGAAGGCTGAGTCTTCTGTTGATATCCAGGATACTATTCACAGCATCTGGCATTGTGTTCAATGTTTGTTAGATAAGTGAAGGGTTATAACATATTCTCTCAAAAATGGACTGTTGGGAGGAAAAGTTAGTCTGATTGAAAGAGTATCAGAGTATAATTGTAGATTAGCATCTTAGGGCGTAAGAGCCTCTTGGTCAGCCCTCTCGCTTGAAGATGAAATCCAGGGAGGTCAGCTGACTTGAAGAAGGTCACCCAGAAGCTGGCCAGAGCCAGGCACAGCATCCAGTATCCTGAGGTCCTGTCCCATCCTTCCAGTGTTCCCTCCCCACTTGTTTCATGGAGGTTGATGTGACTCTGCAGAATCAGGGACCAGAGCATTTGAAGCCCCACACAGTGCTTAACAGAGCATCAGACACACGGGAATTCTCACGGAACACTTCAAACCATTGTTGACTTAGTGAGTGAGTGGTTGGTTTACTTATGACCCTGGCAACTGTCCCTGTGCCGAAGTGGTTACTGGCTAAATGGGGAGTTCCCTGGGGTTCTATGGTTATATATTATAGGCTATCCCTTGAAGGGAATATTAAAACAACAATAATAACAATAATTACACTTCTTCGTAGTAAATTAGGCTATCATTGTAATTTAGGGCCCAGGCTCTGCTCTGTCACTTGCCCGTATACTTTTATGAGGTGATTTAACCCTTTGGTGTCTCATTTTTTACACTGCAAAATGCCAATGGTAATAGTGCCTACCTCAGAATATTGAAGCATTAGCCTATTTGAAGCCCTAGAATAATGCTAGGCACTTTCTAAGCAAGCAACAAGTGTTAACTATGCTGTTATTACAATATCATTATTGTGTGCTAAATTTATTGCACAAATTATATATTATCTAGTCTTCTCAACAACTCTGTAGGAAAGTACTATTAGCTTCCATTTTACAATTGAGTAAACTGAGGCACAGAGAGGTTACTCTACCTACACAGCTGTTAAGTCACGGGTAAGGACCAATTTCATGTCTGTCTGACTCCAGATCCTGTCATTGGGTGTGACGGAAATGGGTGGTGTGGCTACTAGATGTGAGATCTGACCTCCCAAATTTCCTTTTTCCTAGAGCACTCCAGAACCCAGGCTATTTTCAGGAATATCTCCGTGGACTCCCAGGTGAGTAGAAATAGTCCTTCCCTTCTCCATATCGTCCTCCTGTACACGCGGCCAGCTCTCCCTGCGCCCGCAGCTGACTCCCAGAGGCCTTCGTCAGCCCCTCTGGGTCTCAACACCAGAGTTCTTGTGTACAGGTGTGGAGACTAAAGTCACTTGCAGTGGGGTAAGGGGAGGGGCAGTGGACCTAAATCCCCCTTCTCCATCTACATCCACGTTTCTATGGATTTTTTAGAGTAGTTTCATGCATGCAAAACACTTCAGAAATACCGAAAAAATATTTTACAGATGTCCTTGTGCTATAGAAAGGAGTTATGGTTAAGAGTGGCGGGCTCTGCAGCCAGACTACCTGGCTCTCCCTCCTTGGTGACTGCCAGTTTTGCTGTTGTTACGGCTGTTGAAGAACTTGCTCCAGTAAATATAGAAGTCTTACTTACAATCTTAAGTGCTCACTCTTGTTGAGTGGGCGTGGAAGGACACAGGCGTTTGAGCAAGACAAGCTGGCTGTGCATTCTAGCTTCTGCGGCCTAGTAATTGTGCAGTCATTGCATGTCACCTGCTTTCTCTGAGCCTCGGTTTCCTCCTCTCTCAGATGAGGATTATTATACCCATCTTGCAGAGTTGTTGGGATATTTCTATCTCATGTATATAAAGTGAACTATATAAGATTGACATTCAATTAAATGGTTATTATTGTTACCGGTTATTGGCATTTGAATGGGTTCATGAAAAGTATTTTCTGGACAGGAAGCATGTTGTTATTTTTGGTTCATCTTATGTTTCCTTGAAGTATGTTTATTTTTCCCTCCAGCAGTCTTGTTTGTTTAAATTAATTTGCTTAGCAAGTCATATATACATTGTGAAAAGATCATCTCTGCTTCAAAACCTGTAAAATGACTATAATTTCCAAATTGAGGTAGTCCAAATTAATGAGGCCTTATTGCACCTGAATATTTCCATGAATGGTTAATTGAAACTTGATTCTTTTTCCATAATTCTGAAATATTTGTAGTAAAATGACTAACTTTTGGAAAAGAGTGATTAACGTTGGTGGGAGTTAGTTGTTTTCTGTGAATGGAATAAAATATTTTACTTTCTTATATCTGAAATCTGAATCACCAGGAAAACACTTTATTTTTGTGCAAATAGAACTATAGAAACTACTGGTCAACCCCCCCTTCCTCCACAACCACCACCACACACACATGCATGCATGCATGCGCGTGCGCGCGCGCACACACACACACACACACACTCACACACACTCACATGCACACAGCCAAACTCATACATTGCTTAGGTTTTTTTTTCCATTAGGCAACTGAAGAGTTACTGTGTACATCCTGGCAGCCTTCTCCCCCTCAGACACGCAAGGGCACAATCAATTCCTGTTTTTCTTGGAATGTATCAAATAATCAGAAACTGATTATTCTGCTGGAAGGCAACAAACAGCTTGATGGAAAGATGTACCAATTGAAAACAATTCTGATCATATTTTTGTCAGGAGAATGAGATGCCTCCAGCTGTCTGTCACTAATCATATTAGAGGTGGAAAGCAGGAATGTTTTGGCCTGTAAAAGATTACTCTGATCGCATGTTCGAACACGACTTTTACTGGCTGCTTATCCCCGAACAGTGACATTGGACATCCATTCTGTAACTCTTCCTGCCAGTTGGTAGTAGTCTCAAACATATGTCACATGAGCACACTTAAGGAATTTTCTAATTACAGTTCAAAGGCTTTGCTTTTATGTTTTTATGCTCACTCTGCAGACTTCACTGATTGAAATGATTTCTCCCTCAGCATAATCCTAATGCCAGCAATTACAAAAGAGTAAGGAGATGACAAAATGAAACTCACAATAACTGAAGAGGTGTCCGAATTCAGTTAGGATAAGGCCTCTGCCATGGGGACGCATAAGCTATAGAAGTCCATTTTACTCATGAGCCGTGGTACTTATCTGGTCATGTTTATTTTGGATGCAAGCACCAAAGCTGGATTTGAACCAGAACTCCAAATCTTCAAGCCCTAATGACTAATTTGGGTATCCATCGAATCCCTTAATTCATTTCTTAATTAGTTCTCTCAGAATTAGAGCTGCTTGGTTACAATCATTTTCACAAAATTTTCATAAATGAAAACAAATGTACATAGATTTTTTTTCCCCCTGTGGCTCACACATTTTGCTCTGGTCTTAAAAAACTATCCTTGTTGTTTTCAAAATAATAACAACAATGACACCAACAAAACTAACAGGTGCCAAGCAGTAGAGTTTGAACTGAAGCACCAGGGAACTTGGTTCTGATTCCCAACTCAACTACTTACAGCCGTGGGACCTTCATCAAGTTACCTTCCCTCTCGGTGCCTCAGTTTCCTTTTGAAAATGGAAAGAATAATAGTACCTATCTCATCGGGTTGTTCTGAGGATTAAAACAGCATTGTATACAGGAACGAATATGCAGAAAGCACTGTAATGCATGTTCATTTTTAAGTTGATTATCAATAAGACAAAGGGAGACTGATGAATGGTTTCTCTGGTGCCACAGCATTGTCATCTAAGTATGTTCCATTTATGTAGCCCCTTTACACATCACTTACGACAATAATGAAACATTGGAGACTGTGAAGTTGGAGTTAATCTTTATTATTTGTATTTGTACTCCTCAGTTTGGCTACAGAATTAACATTTTTGGCTTTCCATGATTGATAAATATAAGTGTTAACTTGATACCTTTTGCTGCAAAATTGCTTTAAATTTTGAATGAACATTTTGTTCTCTCAGTAAACACAATGTTGGCTCTCATTAAAAGGAAAACTGTTCGTATAATGTTGAAAAACTATATGTGTGGGGGAGAGGAGATTTGGGGCAATAGGCTTCAATAAATTCATTGGAAATTTTCGAAGTATTTTTTAACAGAGTTAAATGTATTTAATGTCGTAGTTCAGATATAATGAATGTACCAGGAGTGAAAGTCTAGGGAAAGATAAATCTAGTAATTTAATGAGCTCATGGCTGCATAAGAGTGAGTTAACATTAAAATTGATTGCCAAGAGATGCACTAGAATTACCTTCGCTTAGGTTTTTTTAGTTTTAATGAAGTTAGATAGGACCCAGCAATTCCACTCACCCTGCACGTGTGTGTGTGTGTGTGTGTGTGTGTGTGCATTTCAGAGAAATGTATACTTATGTACATCCAGAGACAGGTGTAAAATGTTCTTAGCAGCATTGTTTTTATCTGTCTCCAATTAGAAACATACAAAATATCTACCAGTAGCAGAATGGCTGAATAAATTGTTGTGTAATCATTAGATGGAATAGTATACAGCAATGAAAAAATAACAAACTAAAACTACACATAATAACACAGATGTATCTTGCAGATGAAATGTTGAAAGGAAGAAGATACAAAAGAATACATACAATCTTATTCTATTTATATAAAGTGTGAAAACATTCAAAACTAAACTCTGTCGCTAAAGGGTATTTACGAGGTATGATTGAATAATATGGTGAATGTTTAAAAAAATTTTATTACGTAAACGATACATTGCCATTAATCCCCCTCAAAATACTCCCCCTTGCTTCAAACACTCGCATCATTCTTGCCACTTTCTAAAGCAATTCTGGAAGTCTTCTTTCTTGAGTGTCTTTACTTCATCCTCCATCATAACAATGCTCCGTGTCACACATCGCTTCTGGTTTGGCAATTTCTGTCAAATAAAAACATTATAGTGTATCCTCATCCACCTTAGTCACCGGATCTGGCACCATGTGACTCCTGGCTCTTCCCCAAAGTCAAAATGACCATGAAAGGAAAGGGTTTTCAATCGATTCAGGACATCAAGGCAGCCACAACAGTGCAACCAAAGACACTCAAGAAAGAAGACTTCCAGAACTGCTTCAGGAAGTGGCAAGAATGATGGGAAAAGTGCGTTTGGAGCAAGGGGGAGCATTCTGAGGGGGATTAATGGCAATGTGCCTTTTACTGTGATAAAATTTTTTAATTTTAAACATTCACCGTATTTGTTGATCACACCTCATACATAAGTGGCTAAAACTATAAAGAAAAGCAAAGAATTTATGACAAAGAGTTAGGCTAGTGTTTACTTCTGAATGGAGGGTGTGCTGGGGAAGAGAAAGGACCTGGAGGGCTTCTGGAGGTGCTGGAATGAATGTTTTATGTTTTGGCTGGGCTAGTAGTTACATGGGTGATGTACAGTATATTCATCAAACATTAATGTTTTCTGTGCTTTTCTGGTTGTGACTTATAGTTCATAATTTTAAAAGATTTTTAAAAAATGCACTGCCACTGTCTTTTTGGCCTGGTCTTTTTGGTTGACTTGTTTTCATTCTGCATAGTTTTAGGCCTAGAGATTCCTGTGATTGTAAGTGGCTCTAGAAGTAAACTGTTTCCTTGCTGCATGGCAAAGTGGCCTCCAAAATGGGATATGCACAGATTTGCCAAACGGGGTGCACTTATTTGCGGAGGGGGATTGATTAGAGCTTGCGTTTACATTCATTTTATTATGAAACATTATAACTGATGGTGACTGTACTGACACTGGCAGCATCCCGGGTCCACATGTCAGGTGGTCGGGTATCACCTGGAGGTGGGGGGAGAGAGGTGGGGCCTCCCCTCCACTGTGACTTCCCCACTGGCTCATCTGCTTTGATTATTTTGTGAACTATTGGGCTGTCGGAAAAGTCATGATGCATTTTTGCAACAAAAACCAGAAAAAATACGTCTTAACTTTTCCGACAACCCAATATATTAGGCCTGGTTAACTGGATTTACAAAACAAGAATCTGCAAAGAATGCCCATAAATTGAGTATAATTTTAATATTGCAATCAATAAGAAAATGGCAAGGTTTAGGGTAAACCCTTTGTCAACCACATTATGAAGTAATGATAGCGACCATTAAATCAGATCTGACAAGAAGCTGGCCACCAAATTCTAAATTTTCTGGAAGACACATGGATTTACTCGTATATGTGGTTA